TGTTTCGTTCTTTCTTTCTTTGTTTGGGTGTGTGTGTCATAGCTGTAACCGCGGAAGTCGAGTAGTCGAGCAGTATACCTATCCCATGTCCCTGTGATGTGCTTGCCGACTCATCTCCGAAAGTCCCTCTGAAGCCAGGCTACGTTCCACCGGAAGCCTTGTTCTGCTGGACAGAGTCTGACTTCGCCAGCTACATCAACAGCGGCGGCTTCGTGAAGCCGAAGCTTAAGTGTCAGTATTATCTGTCCCCTGAGAACCCGCAGACCATCGTGGATTTGCTGGAGCCCATCCTCAGCGAGCTCAACTGGACGTGCACCGTAGATTCCCATTCCGGCCGAGAGGAGAGCCTGGCCCAGGCCAGGCCCATGCACCGTACTTTGAGTAGATTATATTACGAAATGTTATAATCTACTATAAGATGCAATAATATATATATATATACACTGTAAGATGGTGCGATATATAACATAAAATGACATGCTGGGTTACTTCGGAGTTGTGGAGGTAACGGACTACATGGGCATGCCGGTGCCACGGCTGCCGGGACCTCGAAGTGTCGAGTCCCCCTGTGCCTCTGCACGAATCCGCATGCGAGTGTCCAGGAAGAAGCAGGATGATGGCAGCTTGGAGGTGCTGAAACCAAGCGAAGAGGCAAGGTTTTAGGGTTTAGGGTTTTCCCCCTGCTCAAAAAAAGGGTTTAGGGTTTAGGGGGCAAAGCTGTCAGGGCAGTTGAAATGGAACTGACAGTTGGGATTAGGTTTTCACAATACGTGGATAGGTCTTAAATGGTTGAGCGTGCGGCACAGAGCATGCTACGTTAAATCTGAAGCAAATTCCTGCCGTGTCAATGTCCTTTCTGGCTGAATGGGCAGTGCTTCCCCTAAACCCTAACCCCTAAACCCCTAAACCCGAAACTAGACCCTCCTGTTGCACTCCGACAGGTCGCCCCAGTGTTCATCTGGGAAGCCAGCCGGAACATGATCGACCACGGGCCTACCCTCAAGTTCCGAGGGTTCCTCGCGGGCACTCTGCTCTTGTGGTTTAGGGCTTTAGGGCTTGGGGGTTTTAGGGCTTTAGGGTTTTAGGGCTTAGGGGTTTAGAGTTTAGGGTTTAGGGCTACGAGGCCTGCTGTAAAAGGGTTTAGGGCTTAGGGGTTTAGGGGTTTAGGGTCTATAGGGCTTGTGGCTTAGACCCTCCTTGCAAAGCACTTGCAGCCCTGAGGCTGGTCAATCGGCTAAACGGCGTCAACATGTTCACCAAGGTCCAGGGCTCAGGGACCCAATAATAGTAACAACAAATAATGATAACAATAATAATAATAACGATAATGATAATAGTAAGAATAATAATAATAACAATAATAATAATGGCTCAGGACTCAGGAAGTCCTCCAATGGTCCCCAGAAGATGCAGGGCTCTCCCACTACTTTAGTGCACCTTGCACTAAAAAGGCACTTTCCTACCCTGGCAGGTGGGCATGTTGGAGCTCATCCGGGAGCGATGCATTGAAAGGGACATCCCCATTAATTTTCCACCACCCTGGTATCCTTTGACCTTCGCTCTCCCGGATGACCTGGAGCAGTGGAAGCGACACGCAGAGGCCAGGTTCACAAAGCCCCGTCGCTTCGGGTCTCAGAGCTCCTCTGGGAGGCGAATCCGCACAAGAAATGGATCTATAAGCCGAGCTGCGAGGTGAGGACGTGCAGCTTCTGGTGAGTGTGCTTTGCACCTGTGACTCCTATACCCTTAGAAGCAAGCTGGCAATGTCTGCAAGGCGATGGGCAGAGGCATCATCCTTGTCGCCAGCTCGGATGCTCTTGGAGCTTCTTCCGCGCACTTGCTGCAAGCTCACGGTTGAGGTGAACAAGATCTCCGATGTGGACTCTAAAGCGCCCCGGATGCTCACAGACATTCGCAAACGGGAGGGCCGCTAGCGGCAATGCATATGACAATGCCCTGGCAAGGAGAAGCCCTTTCGAACAAGGTGCAAGAATGTCGAGGCGAACCGTCACATGTTTTCCCTTTCTATACTCTTAGCCTATCAGTCTACCCCACAAGTTCTGAAGTTAAGCAAACCTCGAACCCAACGAAGCTGTTACATGAGACTTGCCAACTGAAGCTCAAGCTGCAGGTCTTCGATCCCAATGAGCCACCACTCAAGGAGAGAAACTTTGCCAATGTCGGCATCATTCAGGCGAGCGTCTGGCCCTATAAACCCTAAACCCTAAAAGGCCCTAAAACCATGAACCTCGCCTGGCTTGTCCGAGTTGTGAGAGCGCAAAAGGCCCTAAAACGGTCAACTGGGCTGGGAAGCTTGCCTGCCTTGTGCGAGCGCGAGAGTCGCAAGTAGGATTTCATCCGGGCTGGCCCTCAGTCTGCTTCAGGAGTACATGGTGAACCCGATGCTTCTGGAGAACCTTGGTAGAGATGAGTGTTTATCCGAAGCTGGTGGCTCAACAAGCCTTGATGGTTTTTGCTGTTGTCCTGCATCTCTCTACTGTCCTCCCACTTCGCACCACCACCACGACCACCACCACCACCACCACCACCACGATCTCAGCCCTGCGCGCACGATAAGGCGTTTGGTCACTGTCTCTCCGATGTGAGCGCATGTCTTATGCAGATCCGGATCAAACCCTCTTCGCCGAGTGACGGAGGAACCGGAAGTTCGCCATCCGGGTCTACATGTTGGTAGCTCGAACCAAGCCTCTTCTCACGTCCGCGCCTCAAAGCGGGAGGGTTCATTGCATCGTTTGTGCCTTTGGGAGCTTTTTGGGCAGACGAGGTTCCATTACAATTTTGGTTATGTCAAGCGTTTGGCCCCCAGTCGGCGACACTGTGCAGGTGTGCAAGGTACCGGATGGCAACCTGCAGGCTGTGGAGAGTTTTATGACGAGAACAAATTCAACCGCGAAGACTTGTTCCGACACATCACAGAGCAGGAGCTTTGGCAAGCGAGGTGACGCCAATAGTATGTCCTGTCTTTCTGCCCCTGTCAACTTCGTGAACGGCTTCATTCAGGAGTTTCAGAAGAAGCAAGATGACTTCGGCGGCTCTGCAGCTTCGCAGCTGATGTCCATCGAGGATGTAGACACATCAGAATGCAAGCCGATTCGTAGTGTAAGCTGCTACCAGTAGTACTGTACGCTTGACTGTTTTGGCTTTGGCCAAAGTTGGAGCTCTAGCCCGACATGTCGGGTGAATGTTCTGCTGCACGGGAAGTTTGAGACCAGCCCGATGCCAGGACCTGGACAAATATCTGCAGGAGAACTATGGTATTCCTGCGTTCAGGCTCAACTTCTGGCAACAAGTCAAAGCGATTTGTATGGAGGCCTTCCTGCCGCAGTAGTTCAGGAGATCCAGTCAGTTCCCGCTGAGGGTACGTAGACAAAACATGCACACCATGTAGGTCAACCTCGGCATGAAGGAGGGCATCGCCGAAAAGGCGAAGGTTCACTACTCAGCAAATCCTTTTAGGTTTAGCGCATGTGACACAACAAATGATGGTTGTGCATGAGATGTTGTGAGCATTGGAGGTTGGACAATTCGAGATCTTCGGCCTGGACATCATCGTTGATGCCGATCAGCGTCTGTACCTGCTGGAAGCAAACAGAGATCCCTCTTGGGTCTTGGACACGCAGGTGAAGAAAGCGATTATTCCTGACATGATTCGCGAGATGATGGAGATCGTTCTTTGGGCGCACAGCGACGAAGGAAAGAACAAAGAAGCCATGCTTCATTCCCCCATGCGGGGCTTCGAGGTGCTGATCGATGAGGCATTTGACTTTCAAGCCGTTGATGTCGAATGATGGCACTTCACCCAAGCCCCCCAAGAGGCACATGCCGTTCAACTTGGGATGAAAGGCCGAAGGCCTGTTCAGCTTCTGCGGAAGATGTAATCTTAGGCGCGCAACGAGGCATGAATACAAAGCAAAGAGATTAGTCTCCTCTTCCCACACAGACTTGGGCACATCTAGTGCCGCGGCGCTGCAGGATCAAGTAGTCTTCTAGGCCGAGCAGTACCTGAACTACTTTGTTGACTGCTTGTGACTTTGCGGTGCAAGGACACCCCCTGGACCAGCAACCAAGCCGAAGCCAGGAAAAAGGAGCAACGCCTGCAGCTCTGTGCAAAGACTTGCGGCAGTGAGAGGTGCCCTCGGACTCCAGCCTCCGTACTTCTGCTGCTGATTCGAGCAGGTGTACGTGCGGGCGTGTTTCGAAACCAAGGTCCCGAGGTGCTTGTCTTCGGTCGTGCACTGGCCCTTGATGCGCCGTCTTGTCTTCCCGGCCAAGTCGTCTCGGACATGGTTACACACAACAGAAAATTATTACTCTAGTCAGTACCGTGCCCGCTTGGCAGTGGCTCGTTCTCTGGCATGCAGCGTGAAAGGGTTGAAGCTGTTGGCCATCTGAGATGGGCGAGCAGCAAGCAGAAAGACCAAAACAACTATCGTAAGCATTACCGTAAGCCTAGCAGCTTAGCAGACTTACCAATGTCCAGTACGTGCTTTCAATTCCCGTTCACAGTAAAACTGACTGAAGGCTTCTCGACATTGTTGACCGCAGTGCGGTCCGGATATTTTGCTGACACGAACGGGTTCCAGCGTCCTCACCTGGGCCAGTACAGCGCATGCAGTCAAGTCCAAGTTGAGCTGAAGCCGGGTCTGGTGCTGCTTACCCATAGGCCCCTAAGTAGTTCCTTGTTGGGATTACCTTATAGGATTCTACATATAAACCACAAAAAAGAACTACTTAGGGGCCTATGGGTAGACCCAATCTGGACAGTGATGCATGCCCCGCAGTACTCCTGGCCCAAAGAAGTCCGGGCGTCCTCGCCACTGTACCCAAACAGACACGTCCAAGAGCGTGCCGTGGTCAGCACACATGAGCCTACAACAGGCCGAGAAATACTCATCTTCCACTTCAGCTGGACATACGACTTTCCTCGAGACAGGCTGTACGCAAGTTGTATAGAGGTGACATTTCCTGCATAGACGGCCATGACGAGGGGCCAAGTGGAAGCGCACTTGAGAGAAGCTCGACTCCAGTCCGTCATTCCGAAACTGGATGACTTGGGTGTGGAGGAAATGGAGGAGTTTCGGCGGCTTGCGGCGTTTGATTGCGAACCAACCGACCGCGTCGTAAATTTCCGACGTCTTTTTGAGATTCGGCCTTCGCTCCGACAGGACTTGCTGATCCTGGAAGACGAGGACGTGGATGCGGCAGAGAAGTTGAATTTGGTGGAGAAGCGCAAGCTAAAGAATCTGCTGAAGACACTTCGGGGAGGTTCGGCACATGAGTCCATTGAATGATTCCATTTCGGAAGGTGCTGACTGTACTGGTAGTGCATCGGCTAAGAGAAGACGTCTTGCCTTCGGCAGCAGTTTTTGACACATCAGCGGAGTCTATAATATGAATAAGATGCTGCATGCAAGATCCAAGAGTTGCATTCCTCGTCCTCTAGTCACAAGTCCAGCTGGCGGCGAGAATCAGAGCACTTCATGCCCATGAGCCTGTTGCAGGCAGCCTGCCGTGGACAGACACTTCGCCCCTCACGGAGCCTCCTTCCGCAGTGCAGACAAGGTGCAGCTCACCCGTTTTCAGTGATTCTGGTACCTGGGACCTGGCCGGCAGTCGCGAGTTTGAGGCCTGTCCAAGTATCCAGCAGGAGTGTCTTTGACGGAGATCTCTTTCCGATATTGTCATGGAAGTATGAGAGCATGATCTAACACGCCTGCACGTCTTTGCATGCTAAGTCGGCCGGGCTTATGAAGTCGTTTTGATTTGTCTGTCTCAGATGGACGATTCATGGGTGGTGGCGATGGGAGATGCCGATTTCACAGCTTCCAGCGACTTGAAAGCGGAGAAGCCAGACATCTTTGAGGTGCCGCATTTCAAGATCACCGGAGGCAAGCCGCAGCGGCAGGAAGTGAGGAAGTTCTTCTACCGTCCAATTCATTGGAGAATGCGACCAAAAGATGGCTGGAGCTTCATTACCATGGAGCTTCCAGGGCCCACACTAAAGGGTCCGTATGCGCAAAGGTTCCAAGAGCTGCAAACGTCAGTCGAGCAGTACCGGGAGCTAGGTTTTCAGCACGACGGAAGGAACTACTACTACGTGAGCTCCAGCAGCTCGTCCGCATATGCCTCCTTAAGCCTTATAATCATCAAACCTGTTGCAGGTGTGATCAGTTGCACGAGACTCCAGGTGAGAGTAATGCGAAGCAGCATGACCGGAAGCATGTACTGCCCATGGGGGAGATGGACGGACGCACGCTTCGCCCAACAGACTGCGGCATGCTACACACTTTTTTACGTGTGTATGAGGGCGGCCAAGTGAGTGACAAAAATGAGGGCGGGAAGCATTGAGACATCTTGAAATAGTAACCCAGCGAGGAAGTGCGCGAATGTCAATCAGTCTAGCGCGGCACGAAAAGTCACCAACGGGAGGAGGTCTGAACGTGACTATGCATGCCCAGGGAACCCTGTGGGCAAAGTCTCGTATGTTAGGGCGAACGGCGAACCGTGTCTGCGCCTTGGCTCCCTGAACCCGGCAGCAGTCCTGCTTAGGACTCTGTGCGTCGTCGAAACTTCCTGAGCGTGAGCGGTTCAATCAAACAGGCTGCAGTGCAGTGTCGGGTGAAATGTTTGCGCCTCCGTCTTAGATGGCGTGCTGTGAACAAGACTAGTGCGATGAACCAGGCTAGCAACATAATATGAGTAATTACAGGCTTGAATCAGAAGCAGAATATGCACACAAATAGGTTGTATTCGAGACTCATGACGATGTCGTGTTTTAAAAGTGTACTCGTTTCAGTGATGCCTAGCCATAGAGGTCCTGGCGCACGCCGGGTCCTTCTTGCGAAGCTGGTGGGCTTAGCGCTAGGCGATTCCAGATGCTCGCGTCTCCTGCTCTTGCTCTTGCGCTTGACCCTAAACCCTACACCCTAAACCCTAGACCTTGAACGACGTATACCATGGTTTTCATGTTACTGTGTGGTGGGGAGCCTCCAAAGTGACACGATGGTCCCTGTACTGTAGAGACACCAGGCATCGCCCATGCAACCTCGAGCCTGGTCGTGCCTATATCATAAAACTTATATACTACATATAACCTGTACATCAGTGACGAGTATTTCATGAGTCGGACTTCTTGGCTGCGTGCCTCATGGCCGATGGTAAGTTTGGGGCTTCTGCACGTTTTCTGAGGTAAGCCTGCCGAGTTTCCCCGTGGTCCGACGGCCTGGCTGGCAAGCCCTCCCGGCGGTGGCGGCCCGGAGCAAATCGGAGAACTCATTGGCTTTCCAGAGCGTCTCAGTCTGGAGGAGACGACCGACGAGATGCCATACCCAGTATTCCGGTTGAGAGCACGTGGCAAGCAGCTGTTCTCGAGTATCATCGCCACAATTCCTGCCGCCGCTGTCACAGTGCAACTTCAGAAGAACTTCGAAGAAGAAGGCCCATCGCTGGGCAGGGCCCTAGGTGTTGCTAGTTACCAGCTGGCGTCCTCATATCTCATGATCTAATGCTGATCGCATGATTATGGAGGGGTTCCAGTATCCTAGACCGCCAGCTGAATCAAAGGCCCCCAGCACCCGAATGGGAACACCCTCGAAACTCGGCATGAGCCTTGTCTTCGGGCGTCACTGGCGCAGACTCCCCCTTCAATCGGCTGTGCACCAAGCCCTGCAGGCGTTCGAGACGATGGGGCTGGCGAGGCAGATCCCGCGATTCTGCAAGCCCTGGCTTATGCCTCAAACACCCGTCAGGAGGACTCTTGTTTTTGTTCGAACTTTGGCAACTGCTTTTGTAAGTCATCAGTGTCATCAGTGCCGTGCAATTGCATCAGTGTGTTTTCCCAAAAGCAGACAACAGCCGCGAGTTGCCAAGAAGCCATCCTCACTAACCACGCATGCGCCAAGATGCTGTCTATCTGTTCAACCTGTGCACCCATAGCCAGCCGGCCAACCACCTGCGCATCTGGCCGAGTACCTTCCACGCAGCAGATCGAAAATCTGTCTGCAAACAGTTTGAGACAGAGAGGCTGCGGATGCACCAAGTTCCCGTTCCTCACAGCGGCTTTATTGCTTGCAAAGGCCAGAGTTGCAGAGCTCAAATCACACGAGCATCGGGCGGCTTGCTCACCCACCTCTATCGAATCACAGTCCTCAAGTCGTACACTGTACACGAAGTCTACGAGTCTAAGAACAAAGCTTTAATGGCCAAAAGCCCCCAAGAAAAAACCCAAGCGAGGAGACCGGCCTTTCTCGGTCGATCCCGGGCTCAGCGCAGATCCGGTGTGGAGGCCTTCACGTTGAAGACACTTCACATCTGCAGGGTTTAGGAGTTTAGGGTTTACGGTCCTAAACCGAAGGCATCAACAACTAATTTCTTTAAAATTCAGGCCATCCCGAAGAAGGTCCGCATGTCGTCCTTGAGGTGTGCAACCTGTGAGAAAGACCGATGTCGTGGCGAGTTCAGAAAAGCCAACGAGCCAGTATCTCACGACATTTAGAAGCACATAGCACAATTCACCACAGGGTATAATGCAGCACGGCATGCTAGGGCCGGCAATGCCAAGCAAGACAACGGAGTCTGAGATGAAGTCTTCGCCCTGGTGAGGTCTCAAGGGTATGCTGCTGAGATCTAAACGCCTCGCAGCAACCGGCAGGGTGGAAGTTCCAGAGTACCTGGGCGGCAATGACTTGACGAAGGTATTATGTACTCAGTCAGGAACTCGAGTCAAGTCGGAGGAGAGATTCTACGAAGAACCAACGAGTGATTGCATCATCATGCATCATCCGAATAGTCTTTTCAAAGACCATGAGGAACATGCTGAAGTTCGGACCCACGACGTTCGACACGGAGCAACTGTCGGTGGTGAGCTTCAGCCGAGTTCGACCCACCTCGCTGGGTTTGGATGTCGTGCTACGTTTGGAAGCTTGTGGATGCAATGCTGATACATTCCTGAAGCAACACCAGCAATGTCTGAATAAGATCAGCGGAATGAAGCGGGAAGACTTTTTCGGTCAGCTCTATTTTGCGGAGTATGAGAACGATCCAGAGATGGAGGCAGTGGGCGAGCACTCCGCAGAGCTGACGAGCAGACACTACATAGGCACCTTCCTGGAGATGTTGATCGCCGGGTATGACCCACAGCAGCACCCATTGCTGGAGGTTATCTTGCGCCAGAAAGAGGCAGCTTTGAAAAGAGCGAAGAAGCAGGTGCACATTCGAGGTTGCTGGTCTGCACGCGGTCACCCTGAACCTCGAGAGTCTGATGCCGATGGCGAGCGCCCATTGCTAAGAGACAATGAAGTCTTCTTGATGGTGCCTTGTGACGCAGAGGACGGGCCAGCTTTGTGTTCGCAAGTCGATGCCGATGCCGTTCGAATTTGCCAGCTGATTTCTCAACTTCTAATTCTACCTGTTGCTTGCTGTCGCTTCGCTTTGCTCTGTCGAACCGTTGGCTCTGTCCCGGCAGCTTACGGCTCCTGCATGCACATGTTTCGCCATGAGCGATGCCTTAGTCGGCATGATGTCAACCGTTTGTCCGAGCTCCACCCACAGTTTTTGGTTTTTTAGAGCAGGAGACTGGCTGGAGGGCCTTGACCGGCCCAGTGATTGTCAACTACTTGTCGGACCGAGATCCTTACGCACTGAGGTTGGCTGTGGCAAAGGACTCCGAAGCTTTGCGTTCCAAGTGTGAGCCCGGCATACTCTTCTTCTCCAGAGTGGGATGCCCACTCCAAAAGAACCTCTCTTGGGACTTCGACGGGGACTACTTCCAGATAATCACCGACGAAGAGATCGTGAAGTCCTTTTCAGGCCACACATCGCCCTTGCCGGAGCCTGAGTACGAGGATGATCTGAAAGACATGCCTGTGAGCACCTGGGTGGATGTGAATGCAAGCTTCTTGTCCGAGTACCTTCAGAGGGACCGCATGGGCCTTCTGCATTACCACTGGCAGCTGATCGCAGGACAAGGGCCGAAGGCAGCTTCTTCCGAAGAGGCGAGGCAGGTGGCAGCGGCATACGCAAAGTCTTTGGATGTGGAGAAGGGCAAGCGATGCCCCAAGCAGGCACGATTCGAGCATTCCAGAAAGTGGGACTTCATGAATGGTGGCGACCTGGACAATCCCTCCCCGACAGCTGCCGGTTTCTGTTTTCGCGCTGCCAGCAGAGCCGAAGAGGAGTTCAAAGCCGTGAGGGACCGAGCACGAAGCAGCGGGAAGGATCCTGACCTTGACAAGGCCGGGAAAAAACCCAAACTCGAAACCCCTAAAGTCCCTATTGTCCAAACACAAAAAGTGCGTAGGTCTGCAGCTACTCCTCGACATGAACCCCGGCCAGAACCCAAAAGTTCCCGATCTCCGTCCCAGGCTTGGCAGAGGATGGAGGAGGAGCTTGGGCAGAAGCTGTGCCAGCAGGTCAAGGTGTGGTGAGGGTCGGTTAAACGAATCTCTGCGCAAGATCCTGCATCCAACCACCTTCTCCCTGCCGTCCGGGTCGCATCGGGGCATTTGGAGGTGTAAGCCTCACCCCAGGTAATTATTGATTAAGCGGTCAGCGAAGCGCGGCCCCTAGAGCCTTCTCTTTACTTGAGCCATGCGCAACATCGGAAATCACAAACGCTGACACATTAAAACACAAACCCCTGTTCTCCGTCTTTCCTGTGCCTCTTGTTGTCCCGGCCGGGACAAACTGTACAGCAAACAGGAGCTAGCTGAGGGCCTCCACCTTCACTTCCCTTATGGAGTTGGCCATGCAGTGGCTGCTGTGCCTTTGGGATCTCCAGCAGAACTTTAAGCATAGCAAAACGGTACACCGGAGTGAGCTCAGAGCAGAGACTGAAAAGCGCTTAGTATAACCTGCTATCAGAATGCTCCTCGTCTTTCCCTGTCTTCCTCTTTGCTTGATTCTTGGCTTGTCCACCTTCCTGCTCATCGGAACGCTCTTCTTGATCTTAAACTTTGAGAAAGCCCTGGGTGTTCGTTAGCCTTGGCAGGATTTCGCGAAGAATGTGCGTGGGGAGTTCATCGAAAGAGTCAAGGCCGAGTGCAACAAGGCAGAGCGCATTGCACGCGAAAAGCATCCAAACTCTTCCGGTGAAGCCGTCTTCAAGGACGAGTGGATCAGGGAACTGCGTGCCCGGACCCAAGAAAAGGCCGAGAAGCTCGAAAGCCAGCGGAAGGTTGGTTTGACGCAAGTTGCATTGGCAGGATGGCACCTCAAGTACGTGGATAAAAAGGTTTGTGAACGAGATGCAGATCCAGACCCAAGCTTTCCATGGACATTGTTCAGGCAAGAGCTAGCGGCACTCAAGAAGCACTACCAGCCATGCCCGATGGGTGAGCTTCGTCGAAATCATCTCTTTTGTCGGCGGCTCCAAAGGGGTGCAGCCGAACAGCTTGAGGAGAAGGTGCGGCAGGCCATTGACGGCTTGAAATTCAACATGAAATGCCAGGAATGTTCCCGGGATAGAAAGATGCTCTTGGACAGGCTCAAGTCTCGCGACAGTTTCTCAGAAATTGTCGCAGCAGTCAAGGAAGTTTCAGGGCGTGGAGAGCTGATTCGAGTTGGTATTGATGATCTTCGGTATTGCAAAGATGTCATATCCGATGTATTCGACCACGGCCTGAATGCTGGCATGAAGCTCAAAGACTTGGTTGAGAATCTGCTGAGTGACGGGTCTCCAAGCGACATGGAACTGACTGCTGTCAAATTTCACGGGCATCTCTACGTGATCGAGGGGAACAAAAGGCTATGGTGTCTGAAGGAAGCACAGAAGGAAGCTAAGCAGAAGCTCAAAGTGTCGGTGCGAGTGCCGGATCTCTACCTGGGCTTTGTTCAGCGCCAAGAGCATAAGGAGCCCGTGCTGCCTTACTTTCTGCAGAGATTCCGCCCCCGCTCGGGGGGTCGAGACATTCTCCTGCAGGAGCAGTGCGACTTGTCACAGGTGGCCGTCCAGTCGAGTGTTCCCACGGTCAACCAGCAGGCAGACATCCAGCAAGCTGGCAACCAGGTTCTTAAATGTGGGAAGAAGTACAAGGGCAGCACCTATGCTGAAGCTTACGGGGACGCTGATTACCGGAAGTGGGTGATGCAGAATATTAGCGACAAAAGCAGTCCGGAAATGCAGAAGCTGAAGGGCTACATACTTCGTCGGTCGAATGCGGAGCAACCACATGTTACATCTTCCCGGTCGAGTGTTCCCACGGTCAACCAGCAGGCAGACATCCAGCAAGCGGAGCCTTTCCGGACCCGTGTTCCCAAAGTCAACGAGCAGGCAGACATCACGGAAGCTGGCAACAAGGTTCTTGGATGTGGGAAGTATAAGGGCCGCACCTATGCTGAAGCCTGCGAGGACGCTGATTACCGGAAGTGGGTGATGCAGAATATTAGCGACACAAGCAGTCCGGAAATGCAGAAGCTGAAGGGCTACATACTTCGTCGGTCGAATGCGGAGCAGTCACATGTTACATCTTCCCGGTCGAGTGTTCCCACGGTCAACCAGCAGGCAGACATCCAGCAAGCTGGCAACAAGATTCTTGGATGTGGGAAGCACAAGGGCCGCACCTATGGTGAAGCTTTCCTGGACACCGGTTACCGGAATTGGGTGATGCAGAACATTAGCGACACAAGCAGTCCGGACATGTGTTCGCTGAAGGCATTCTGCGTACTCTCTTTGTCGAACTGAGTTTGAGCTTTGCGCCGATTGACGGAGCCGCAGATGCGCAAAGGACGCATCGAAAGTGATGTTATCGTACGCCGACTTCGATGACTTCACTTCAGATGTTTGTGGTCGGTCGTCGGTTCAGAAATCAGGCTAATGTACACGGAGATTGCTGTGATGTTGAAAAGTTGATCCCTGGCCTTTCGACTAATATTATTAATTGAATTCGGTTTGTAAGAGGTCTTATTCCAAAAAATTCTGCCAATATCATTGAAATATCAATTATCAAATTCGAAAGAATTCAAAACCTCCGGCATATATAATAATAGAGATGATTTGAACGAAATTCAAAACTGTTATGAATTTTTTCTATAGGAAACTTGATTATTATAATCGAAAAATATTCTGAATTATAAATATTTCTTATAGAATAATCTATTTCGAATCTATTATTGATATCTGTGATCGAAAATAACATGAATATATTAATTATCTTTTTATATATCTTGCTAATATTTTATCTTTTGATATGATTTCTTTGGAAGGCCTCTTTTATATATTTGTCTCGCGATATAAATATTTCGGAATTTGAATACGGGGATCCTTTCTTTATTGATTTTAAATTTCCTAGAATTTTGAAAATATTGGAAATTTGCTGATATTGAGTTTCGAAATTTCGAAAGTTTTAGACTGATAAATTCCCGATAATAATAGAAGTCGAAATATTCGATAGATATTTTTATAATTATAAAATTTCTGAAATTTATTTTTAGATATGATTCGATTTTTTTGAATCGAGAATATATCTTAAGAGAAAATTTGGAAGAAAATATATATCCGATTTTAGGGTCGCTCGAAAAGCATACGAGAGACTTGCAAGAATGAAGAAATTTTAGTATCGCGAAAGATATATATAAGGTATTTTCTATAAGAAATATGTTAATCTCTTGATAGTACGATCTCTGATATCGTTCTCTCTGAATATAGGTCTCGATATTTAAATCTTATATATCTATATATTTGATTCGTATTTGTCTTTGATAAATAAGAGCTATTTTTAATTGCGACATCTAAAAGCATGAGTAATTATTATATAAAGAAAGATTTCTACCTATGTTCCGTAGCGGACTAAGAGAAAATTATATTGAAATTTATATCGATATTCGATATCTCTTCAATTCTCGAGATAATATCTTCAACATGAATCTCGAGATCGATAGTCGCCGAACCGACGATCGAGTCGCCGGAGGCATTGATCAGATTAATCGTTCTCTTATATTTCTTCTAATAGAAGTCCTGAGAGGTGAGATGCTAAATAATATGGCACATATTCCTAATATCGATCAATCAAATATCTCAAAAATGATTTGGACGACTTTATATATATAAAGAACTTCGGCTTCTTTACAAAATGAAATCTTAACGATCTCATAAATTCAGAAAAGAGATTTTCAATCTCAAGAGACCTTTTGGATCTCGAATCCGGATTCGTTTGGGCTACTATGCGGGCAAAAAACGTCTTCTCGGAACGGCTCAGAATAGGGACTTCTGATTTAGATAACGATACGAATTAATAATTAAATATTTTTTAATATATCATATTCAATATCATTATTATAATCGTCATATCTATTATCAATATCATTGAAATAATTATCTTTCTTTGCCATTCCATATATCTCTCATATTTAAATAAGAAATTATTAGATAGATTGCCACGTTCTGGGCAGGGACAACGCATCATATATCGTCAATATAGAGCGACGGAAAGCCAGATTCGATCAATCTCATATCCCAAGGATGATTCCGTGAAGAGGGGGGGGAGGATGGGGGTCCCCAAGATCCGAAGATATATATATATAGTTGGAATCTCCCTCCTCCGGGGCCTAGGTCTGTTTCTTTCCTTTGGAGCATGAATTTCAAGATATGGGTGCCGGAGGGAGCAGGTCGACAATGGAAGATCTTGATTTTACCAATATTTCCAATAATTTCCATATTTTCCAAATTGAAATTCATGCAAATTATTGAAATTGTTGGTTTTACGAATAGTTTTTCGTGAACCTTTCATGAAAATTCTTGATTTTATCATAAATTTCATGATATCAAGTATTTTGCTTTTGGGAAGAATTCATAGAAATTGCTACTATTCAAAATGCTCTCCCGCGCCGCTTCCAACGATCCCACTGGAGCTCATGATGCTCGTCCGAAATCTGC